CCCTCCTGATCCCAGTACTGTGCCCTCCTGATCCTAGTACTGTGCCCTCCTGATCCTAGTATTGTGCCCTCCTGACTTCCCAGTACTGTGCCCTCCTGATCCTAGTACTGTGCCCTCCTGATCCTAGTATTGTGCCCCTCCTGACTCCCCCAGTATTGTGCCCTCCTGATCCCAGTATTGTGCCCTCCTGATCCCAGTATTGTGCCAACCTTACTCCTGAAATCGAAAACATACAAACAAAACAAATTTTGTTCCGAATGCAACAAAAATGAAATTAGTAACTTTAGGAATCATTCTGAAACAAAATGTTTTTTTTTTCCTTCTGCGCATGTCTAGTTCTAACCCTTTCTTATTTCTACCACAAATGTGTTTTTTTTTTTGGTTCCTCTGTGCACTTCCTGTTCTGTCTGACACCTTTCAAATAGAGAGAAAATGGAGAAATCTTCCCAGAGGGGACACAATGTAAGCATTAGAGATACAGAAAGGAGCCCTCAGACCAAAACCAGAGATAACAAAATCTAAGATCGATGTAATTGTTGGCATGAAAAGTCATATAAAAACAACCAACAAGTTTCGGGGCAACACCCCTCCCCCGTCATTGGGGCTATATTAGAAACAGCGTTGAACTGTCCAGATGAGGGACCAACTGGAGAGCAGTTGCTGGGTAGCAACCAAGGAGCAATAAAAGCCAGGCAAAGGTTCTAACCCTTCCACACTCCATTCTAAAACTGAAATAAAAAACGATTTGGTTGGACCCGGGCTTCAAAAAGTTTAAAATGGCTGTCAGGCCCATCACCCAGAGCAGGTTTCTTATGTCATGGTGTTGCGCAATGTTGAACCTTATTGGCTCAAGGTGCTTCCCCTCCATTTCCTCCTTTAGCAAGGATTAGAGAAAGCTTATATGAAAACAGATTCAGGTACTTTTACTAGTTGTAGTTTTTTTTTTTAAATGTACCAAACGTCTTGGAGGACTAAGCCCAGATCTGTGGATGTCGGCTGCCTCCAATCCTTCTGTGTCTTCATGTCATCCCAGGCAGACTCCTTGATGGGGAGATCAGGGCTCTGTGGGGGACCAAACCATCACTTTCAGGACTTCTTGTTCTTCTTTACTCTGAAGATAGTTCTTAATGACATTGGCTGGATGTTTGGGGTGGTTGTCCTGCTGCAGAATAAATGTGAGGCCAATTACACGTCTCTCTGGTGGTAAGGCATGATGGATAAGTATCTGCCTGTATTTCTCAGCATTGAGGACACCATTGATCCTGACCAAATCTCCAACTCCATTTGAAGAATTAAAGCCCCCAACTTGCAAGGAGTCTCCACCATGCTTCACAGTTTCCTGCAGCTTTTTTGCTCCCCAGTTCCTATGTTTACCTGCATAGCTGAATCACACAAGTATTCCATAAAGACCACATCTGGCCAGACTTCTACAGACAGTAGATGGGTTTACCTGGGTATCACTGTCAATAGCTAAAGACCTCCAAACTTGGTGTGGCCTTCAGATGAGCCCAACAACAGTGCGTAGAGAGCTTCATGGAATGGGTTTCCATGGCCGAGCAGCTGCATCCAAGCCTTCCATCACCAAGTGCAATGCAAAGCGTTGGATGCCGTGGTGTAAAGCACGCCGCCACTGGACTCTAGAGCAGAAGAGACGTGTTCTCTGGAGTGACCAATCACGCTTCTCTGTCTGGCAATCTGATGGACGTGTCTGGGTTTGGCGGTTACCAGGACAACGGTACTTGCCTGACTGCATTGTGCCAAGTGTAAAGTTTGGTGGAGGGGGGAATATGGTGTGGGGTTGTTTTTCAGGGGTTGGGCTTGGCCCCCTAGTTCCAGTAAAGGGAACTCTTAAGGCGACATTTTGCACAATTTCATGCCCCCAACTTTGTGGGAGGAGGAGTTTGGGGATGGCCCCTTCCTGTTCCAACATGACTGCGCACCAGTGCACAAAGCAAGGTCCATAAAGACATGGAGGAGCCAGTTTGGGGTGGAGGAACTTGACTGTCCTGCACAGAGTCCTGACCTCAACCCCATAGAACACCTTTGGGATGAATTAGAGCGGAGACTGTGAGCCAGGCCTCCTCCCCCGACATCAGTGCCTGACCTGACAAATGTGCTTCTGGAAGAATGGTCCAACCTTCCCATAGACACCCTCCTAAACCTTGTGGACGGCCTTCCCAGAAGAGTTGAAGCTGTTATAGCTGCAAAGGGCGGGGCCAACTCAATATTGAACCCTATGGACTAAGACTGGGGGGCCATTAAAGGTCATGTGTGTGGAAAGGGCGGGGCCAACTCAATATTGAACCCTATGGACTAAGACTGGGGGGCCATTAAAGGTCATGTGGGTGGAAAGGCTGGCGGCCTAATTCTTGGGGCAATATAGTGTGTGTGTGTATAAAATTATTTTTTTTATATATATATACAGTATATAAAAATATTATATAATGATTCTTTATATATATATATATATATATATATATATATATATATATATAAAAGAATAATTGGATATTTTATTTATATATATATATATATATATATATATATATATATATATATATATATAAAAATATATAATTATTCTTTATATACAGTTGCAAGAAAAAGTATGTGAACCCCTTGGGATTACGTGGAGTTTTGCATGAATTGGGCATAAAATGTGCTCTGAACGTCATCTAAGTCACAACAATAGAAGAACACAGTCTGCTGAACATAATACTACACAAACATTAGATGTTGCGATGGTTTAATTGCACATAACATGTAAACATTCACAGTGCAGGGAGGAAAAGGTATGTGAACCTTTGGACTTAATAACTGGTTGACCCTCCTTTGGCAGCAATAACCTCAACCAAACGTTTCCTGTAGTTGCAGATCAGACCTGCACAACGATCTGGGTCATTTTGGACCACTCCTCTTCACAAAACTGTTTCAGTGTAGCAATATTCTTGGGATGTCTGGTGTGCATCGCTCTCTAAAGGTCATGCCACAGCATTTCAATCGGGTTGAGGTCAGGACTCTGACTGGGCCACTCCAGAAGGCGTATTCTGTGCTGTTGCAGCCATTGTTGTTTTGTTGAATGACTTGTATGCTTTGGGTCATTGTCCTGTTGCATCACCCATCCTCTGCGGAGCTTCAGTTGGCGGACAGATGGTCGTACGTTTTCCTGCAAAATGTCTTGATAAACTCTGGAATTCATTTTCCCATCAATGACAACAATCCGTCCAGGCCCTGAGGCAGCAAAGCAGCCCCAAACCATGATGCTCCCTCCGCCATGTTTCACAGTGGGGATGAGGTTTTGATGTTGGTGTGCTGTGCCTTTTTTTCTCCACACATAGTGTTGTGTGTTCTTCCCAAACAACTCAATCTTGGTGTCATCTGTGCACAGTATATTCTGCCAGTAGTGCTGTGGAACATCCAGGTGCTCTTTTGCAAACTTCAAACGTGCTGCAATATTCTTTTTGGACAGCAATGGCTTCCTCCGTGGTGTCCTCCCATGTACTCCATTCTTGTTTAATGTTTTCCTTATTGTAGATGTGTCAACAAAAATGTTAGCATGTGCCAGAGATTTCTGTAGGTCTTTAGCTGACACTCTGGGATTCTTCTTTACCTCATGCAGCATTCTGCGCTGTGCTCTTGCAGTCATTTTTACAGGACGACCGCGCCCTAGGGAGAGTAGCAACAGTGCTAAACTTTCTCCATTTGTAGACAGTCTGTCTTACCGTGGACACATGAACATCAAGGCTCAAGGAGATACTTTTGTAACCCTTTCCAGCTTCATGCAAGTCAACAATTCTTGATCGTAGGTCTTCTGAGAGCTCTTTTCTGCGAGGCGTGGTTCACATCAGACAGTGCTTCTTGAAACCAGTAAAAAAAACAGGTGTCAGCAACACATCCAATATCATCACACTGATTGGAGTCAAGGTTGGCTCACTCCTGGCTCCAATTAGCTCTGGGAGAAGTCATTAAGCTAGGGCCTCACATACTTTTTCCTCCCTGCACTGTGAATGTTTACATGTTATGTGCAATTAAACCATGGCAACATCTAATGTTTGTGTAGTATTATGTTCAGCAGACTGTGTTCTTCTATTGTTGTGACTTAGATGACGTTCAGAGCACATTTTATGCCCAATTCATGCAAAACTCCACGTAATCCCAAGGGGTTCACATACTTTTTCTTGCAACTGTATATATATATATAATTATTCTTTTTATATATATATATATATATATAAAATATTTTTTTCTAATGACTGAATTGATTAGTGATCATTTATCATCTCCCTGGAAGGAATCATTTCCTCTGATGTTCCACCGACTTTCACTGTCACATTTGGGACGGGCAGCGTACCGGCAGCGCACCCCTGCCAAAATCTGGCATACATATGTATGAAGACAACATCTGATTTACAGTCGTCAATTATGAAAGGCTCTTGTTTCAGATGCCGGATCGTTGTCAGCGCTAACGAGGGACATTTGATTTATCAAACCAACAAAATCACATTTATTGCAGCTGAAGGGAGTTTTTTTTTTCTCCTGTTTCTTTGGCGCGGTGTAACGAATTCCTTTTTTCGCTTCATGCACCGAGGCCCGAGCGACCCTGCGGATGGCCCCGCCCGAGCGGCGATGTCACGGCGTATTTGACTAATATAAGTAATTAGAGTCCCGTCATAAAAATAGAGAGATGTTTAACTCTGCATTAATTAAGAATACAAGCGTGTTGTGGCATGGGCAGATCGCTCCGGATAGAAGATTTAAGCGGCTGCCACGTAAATGTTAATTGCTTTATGTTAAACAACTACTAATTATACCGAATATCATCAAAGCTGAACTCTGGGCTAAGCAAATATTGTCTGAATGTAAGAGACGCGTGTCTAGACTCAGACCTGTCCTTCCAACCCCATGTCCAATCGCTGGCAAACTCATGCAGGCTCCGCCTCCGCAACATCTCCAAAATATGTTTGTTCCTAACCCCAGACACTACTAAACTACTCGTTCCCTCCCTTATTATCTCACGTCTGGACTACTGCAACTCCCTCCTCACCGGCCGACCTCATCACAGACTATCCCTGCTTCAGTCTATCCTGAACTCAGCGGCCAGACTCATCCACCTTACCAACCGCTCCCTGTCTGCCACCCCCTCTGTCATTCCCTCCACTGGCCTCCATTCAGTGTTCTCCACCCCCCCTCTGTCATTCCCTCCACTGGCCTCCATTCAGTGTCCTCCACCCCCCTCTGTCATTCCCTCCACTGACTCCACCCCCCCCCTGTCATTCCCTCCACTGGCTCCACCCCCTCTGTCATTCCCTCCACTGGCTCCACCCCCTCTGTCATTCCCTCCGCTGGCCACCACCCCCCTCTTTCATTCCCTCCACTGGCTCCACCCCCCTCTTTCATTCCCTCCACTGGCTCCCGATTGCCCAACGCATTAAATTCACACTACTAACTCTGACATACAAAGCCATCCATAACGCCGCCCCAAACTACCTCACCGACCTGATACCCAAATACCACCCAACCCGTAATCTTCGCTCCTCACAAGACCTCCTACTTTCTAGCTCCCTGGTCTCCTCCTCCCACGCCCGACTGCAGGACTTCTCCAGGACTTCCCCCATCCTCTGGAGATCACTACCCCAATCCATCAGACTGTCACCTATCCTCCTCACCTTTAGATGCATCCTAAAAACCCATCTCTTCAGGGAAGCCTACCCCACCCCCACCTAACACCCGCCCTCACCTAACAGCCTATCTCCTCCACTCCTCCTACTACTCCATCCCCCACAGCCACTTCCTCCTGTACCACTACCCCCTCCCTCCTAGATTGTAAGCTCCAAGGAGCAGGGCCCTCGAACCCCTCGTGTATTGTATTGTTACTGTATTGTCTCATGTTCTGTCCCCACTATAATGTACAGCGCTGAGCAAACCTTCTGCCGCTATATAAATCCTGTATAATAATAATAATAATAATATTCCAGATCTGTGCGGTCATCCAGTGTGAGACTTCCCAAAATAAAGACCACTCGCTGCTGCACCTTCTCCTTGTGTGGGGGGGGACTGGTCTTGTCTCCGCCCCCTCTTGTAGTTTTCTGACCCTGTTGGGTCCCTCCCACAGCCTTGCTCTCTGCACAGATTATGAACAGCGCGGTGATGATGTCACTGCTACTTTTACAAAGGAATATCTGGGTTTGTAAAGGAATTTGGAGCACGCAAATTGTATTTATATCCTTTGAGACTGTTGAAAAATATATTTAAATGAAAGTTTGGCTTTAAAGTATTAAAAAATAATACAATGAAACAACTCCGGCAGTAAAATCGATGAGAAGAGGTGTTGCTAGTATTTGGATAGGCAGAGGCCTCTCTATTTGTCAAGCTCTGCTTTGATATGGTCTTGAGATTCTCTTCTGGAAGTCACACGTCCTTCCTTTCCTTCCCCTACTCCTTTTTCCGTCTTTCCTACTTTTCCACCCTCTTTTCTGCTCCCCTTTGTTTCATATGGAACCCTCATATGGTTTCTGGGAGCAGAGCTCCCTACCTGATGCATATCCAGTTCCTACCTTCCTTTATACCATTGTGTCCCTCCATGTTTTTTTTATGGTTCCATGTAACATCCAAAACTGAGCTCATAATATTTCCTCCCCCCACGCGCCTCTTCCCCTGATTTCTCGGTCAGGATCAATAGCACCATCAACCCATCTCTGTATGCCAGGGTGCTGGGGGTAACCCTGGACTCTGAACTGTCCTTTCAGGCCCACATCCAATCATTGTCCAATCATGGCGCCTCAACCTCCACAACATCTCCAGAATACGCCCCTTTGTAACCAATGATACCACAAAGGTCCTAATTCACTCCCTGGTTATCTCTCACCTCAACTACTGCAACTCTCTCCTCATTGGATGACCTTTACATAGGCCACCCCCCCTCCAGTCCATCATGAATGCTGCTGCCAGGCTCATCCACCTTACCAACCATTCAGTGTCCTCCACCTCTCTCTGCCAATCCCTCCACTGACCTCCACTCAGTGTCCTCCACCCCTCTCTGCCAATCCCTCCACTGACCTCCATTCAGTGTCCTCCACCCCTCTCTGCCAATCCCTCCACTGGCTTCCACTCAGTGTCCTCCACCCCTCTCTGCCAATCCCTCCACTGACCTCCATTCAGTGTCCTCCACCCCTCTCCGCCAATCCCTCCACTGGCTTCCACTCAGTGTCCTCCACCCCTCTTTAACCGCCAATCCCTCCACTGTCCTCCACTCAGTGTCTGCCACCCTCTTTGCCAATCCCTCCACTGACCTCCATTCAGTGTCCTCCACCCCTCTCTGCCAATCCCTCCACTGACCTCCACTCAGTGTCTGCCACCCTCTCTGCCAATCCCTCCACTGACCTGCACTCAGTGTCTGCCACCCCTCTCTGCCAATCCCTCCACTGACCCCTAATCAGTGTCCTCCACCCCTCTGCCAATCCCTCCACTGACCTCCATTCAGTGTCCTGCACCCCTCTCTGCCAATCCCTCCACTGACCCCTAATCATTGTCCTCCACCCCTCTCTGCCAATCCCTCCACTGGCCTTCATCAGTGTCCTCCACCCCTCTCTGCCAATCCCTCCACTGACCCCATTCAGTGTCCTCCACCCCTCTCTGCCAATCCCTCCACTGACCTCCATTCAGTGTCCTCCACCCCTCTCTGCCAATCCCTCCACTGACCCCTAATCAGTGTCCTCCACCCCTCTGCCAATCCCTCCACTGACCTCCACTCAGTGTCCTCCACCCTTCTCTGCCAATCCCTCCACTGGCCTCCACTCAGTGTCCTCCACCCTTCTCTGCCAATCCCTCCACAGGCCTCCACTCGCTCAACGAATAAAATTCAAAATACTAACAACAACTTACAAAGACATCCACAACCAACCTGGTCTCAAAATATCAACCAAACCACTCTCTTCGATCCCTCCCAAGACCTTCTGCTCTCTAGTTCCCGTGTCACTTCCTCCCATGCTCGCCTCCAGGACTTATCCTATCCTATGGAACTCTCTACCCCAATCTATCCACCTTTAGACGATCCCTGAAAACCTTTCTGTTTAAAGAAGTCTATCCTGCTTCTACCTAGTAAACTGCCATTTATTTCCTCCCTCAGCTCCTCCCCCCACAGCTATTACATTTTGTATCGCTCAACCCTTCCTCCTAGATTGTAAGCTCCCAGGATCAGAGCTCTCTGATTCCTCTTGTACCAAATTGCATTGTAACTGTAATGTCTGCCTTCATTTTGTACAGCGCTGCGCCAAACCGTTGGCACCATATAAATCCTGTATTATAATAATAATGTAACATGCTTTTATATGTTTTTCCCCCGTTTCTGCAGGACATCGCTTCTGCATCTTCTCTTTTGTATCCATATGTGTCATTGGATTGTCCTAAGTTTGTCTCTCTTTCTTTCTGATAATCAATAAAATGTTTGAAAAAGGAAACTCAGAGGCCTAAACGATGCAGGACGCAACTAGGCGCAAGGTGAAACGTAGCCGCTGCATGCAGCATGGTTTAATAAATAGCTGGCGAACAGAAGAATTGGGGAGACTATTACTTCTCTTTCAGACCGAATCTTAACATTTTGGCAAAATGCGTTGGCATCAAAAGGGAAGGCAAAATTAAAGTGTATGTCAAGCTAAATTTTTTTATTTTACTTTGGATCAAGTAAGTAAGAGTTTTAAAACCTATCAGGTTATTCTATGCTTCTTGTGTCCTGATGGGGAGATTTCCCGTCACTTCCTGTCCTTGAAATTCAACAGAAATAAGAGGAGATCTGTCAGACCTTTCCACCTCCGTGTACAAAAGGAGCAGACACGGGACACCAAAGAGAGGCGTATAATAACTCTTCTATTACAGGGAATGGAGGGGAGGTAGGAGACACAGGACACCAGGTAGGGGAGTATAATACCTCTTCTATTAAAGGGAATGGAGGGGAGGTAGGAGACACGGGACACCAAAGAGAGGCGTATAATAAATCTTCTATTACAGGGAATGGAGGGGAGGTAGGAGACACAGGACACCAGGTAGGGGAGTATAATACCTCTTCTATTAAAGGGGAATGGAGGGGGGGGGTGGGAGACACGGGACATCGGAGAGGGGAGTATAATACCTTTTGCTATTACAGGGAATGGAGGGGAGGTAGGAGACACGGGACACCGGAGAGGGGAGTATAATACCTCTTCAATTACAGGGAATGGAGGGGAGGTAGGAGACACACGGGACACCACAGAGGGGAGCATAATACCTCTTCTATTACAGGGAATGGAGGGGAGGTAGGGAGACACGGGACACCAGAGAGGGGAGTATAATACCTCTTCTATTACAGGGAATGGAGGGGAGGTAGGAGACACGGGACACCACAGAGGGGAGCATAATACCTCTTCTATTACAGGGAATGGAGGGGAGGTAGGAGACACGGGGACACCGGAGAGGGGAGTATAATACCTCTTCTATTACAGGGAATGGAGGGGAGGTAGGAGACACGGGACACCGGGAATGGAGGGGAGGTAAGGGGGGGAGGGGGAGTATAATACCTCTTCTATTAAAGGGAATGGAGGGGAGGTAAGGAGACACGGGACACCGGAGAGGGTAATATAATACCTCTCCTATTACAGGGAATGGAGGGGGGAGGTAGGAGACACGGGACACCGGAGAGGGAAGTATAATACCTTTTGCATTACAGGTGGAGGGGGAGGTAGGAACAGGCATTCTATTACAGGGAATGGAGGGGAGGTAGGAGACACGGGACACCGGAGAGGGGGGGGGTATAATACCTCTTCTATTACAGGGAATGGAGGGGAGGTAGGAGGCACAGGACACCGGAGAGGGGGTAGTATAATACCTCTTCTTATTACAGGAATGGAGGGAATGGAGGTAGAAGGCACAGGACACCAGAGAGGGGGGTATAATACCTCTTCTTATTACAGGGAATGGAGGGGAGGTAGGAGGCACAGGACACCGGAGAGGGGGGTATAATACCTCTTCTATTACAGGGAATGGAGGGGAGGTAGGAGGCACACGGGACACCGGAGAGGGGAGTATAATACCTCTTCTATTACAGGGAATGGAGGGGGAGGTAGGAGACACAGGGACACCAGATAGGGGAGTATAATACCTCTAATTACGGGAATGGAGGGGAGGGCAGGGCCCTCTAACCACTCAGTATTGGAGTATAATAACGGGGACCTCATCTTATTACAGGGAATGGAGGGGAGGTAGGAGACACGGGACATCCAGAGGGGGAGTATAATACCTCTTCTATTACAGGGAATGGAGGGGAGGTAGGAGGCACAGGGCACCAGAGAGGGGGTATAATACCTCATCTTATTACAGGGAATGGAGGGGAAATAGAAGGCACGGGACATCAGGAATGAGGGGGGTATAATACCTCTTCTATTACAGGGAATGGAGGGGAGGTAGGAGACACAGGACACCAGATAGGGGGTATAATACCTCTCCCTATTACAGGGACCTCACCTCTAATTCTATTTGAACCTCACAGGGTCCCTTTAATACGTAATTAAAATAAACAGAAGAAAGGAGAGCGGAGTTATGCACAGGAGCCTCTTATAAATAAATTAGATGCAATCTGAGCAGAAACAGGCTTTTTAATTGCCGGTTTACGCACAATAATTTAGCCGCGTGTTACGACATTCCTGGCAGTCGCCGTAAAGCTCGTTATCTCAACAACAGAAAATGCGTATCTGGCAAACTCAATAGAAAATAATAACTCGGAGAAAAAAAAAAAAAAAAAAGGCGTCTGTTTTCTGTTCAGGAGACAAATCAGGTTAAAATCCTGAAATTATCTCCTCGTTCTGATACAGGGAATTCTAAATGACATTAGCGGGATTCCAATCAGAGCCAATCATCGGAGAGATAACGCCGCAACAGATCGCCGACGGCCGCGGTCCGGCCTGCGTTCATTCCAGGAGAGAAGACACACAACAAATAATTGAAAGAAATTGCCGCAGCAATTACGGCTAACAAAACAGACCGGGCCAGAAAATCGTATTAGGGCGACCTTCTGGGGATCGGACGTTCCCGCAACGAATTTCCATAAAGCAGATTTCGCTTATTTACGGAATCATCGCGTTCGATTAAGTTTGTGTCATTGATGAAGTCCAGGACTTTGCGTGAATAACGTGCTCGTGTTTGCGTCATTTGAAAGGGAAACTTTTCTTTATGTTTAGTGAATTCTATTCATTTTTTTTTATTATTATTTTATCACAATATCTGTATGGTAAAGTTTTGTTCATATTTGATGCTGTTCCATATTTCAGTTGCTTTCTGCGTGCAGAATTGTAAACGCTGCCCCTAGTGGGAGTAGGTTTGCTGATATCTCTGTTTTAAAGCTGAACTAACTTTTTTTGTTTTTTAAATATAATCCCCAACTGCAACAAATGATATAAATCTGCTTTACATGCCCCTAATGCCTTCGTAAGCCCGGTGAATATCCTGTAAAATAGGAGTCCATGAAACACAAGGGGTTCTAGGAAACGCAGCATTGGGGCCACTGGATAACACTGGTGATCATAGGAAATAAATACTTAATTTCCTAGATTCTTCAGCACCACCTAGTGGCCACAATTTCTGTGTTTTCCCAAATCACTAGCTTTTCCTGAATTATATATGTATATATATGTTATAGGGTTGCCCAGGGGCGGATAGACCATTCGAGCACTCGGGCACTGCCCGAGGGCCCGGGGTCAGTAGGGGGCCCCATGAGATGCCCCTGGTACCTTTTTATAGGCTTTTTTGGGTGTGCTTTGAGTGTGGGCAAGGACACAGAGGCCCCATGATCACCTATTGCCTGGGGGCCCCATGAGTTGTCAGTCCGCCCCTGGGGTTGCCTATACCAAGTACTTGCACAAGTACTCATGCTCTTGCCAATGCTCCCAATACTGAATCTGAAACCTTTGAGACCACACAAAATGACTGAGCTCAAATCGCACATGCAAAAAACTGCATGCCATTTGACCAGGAATACTGTGCGATTCTGGAGGGGATGGGGAGAGGGTCCAGTGGATGGCTGGAACCATTGGAGGCTGGGGGGAGAGCAAGCCACTGGAGGCTGGGGGGAGAGAGCTGCTGGACACTGGGGAGGGGGGGGGGAGCCTCTAGAGGCTAGGGGGAGAGAACTGCTGGAGGCTGAGGGTAGAGAGCCACTGGAGACTGGGAGGGAGGGAGCTACTGGAGACTGGGGGTAGAGAGCCACTGAAGGCTGAGGGTAGAGAGCCACTGGAGACTGGGGGGGGAGAGAGCTACTGGGGACTGAGGGAGAGAGCCACTGGAGGCTGGGGGCAGAGAGCTACTTGAGACTTGGGGGAGAGAGCCGCTAGAAGCTGGGGGGAGAAAGCCGCTGGAGTCTGGGGGGAGAGAGCCGCTGGAGTCTGGGGGGAGAGAGCCACTGGAGGCTGGGGGGAGAGAGCCACTGGAGTCTGGGGGTAGAGAGCCACTAGAGGCTGGGGGTAGAGAGAGCCACTGGAGACTGAGGGGGTAGAGAGCCACTGGAGGCTGGGGGCAGAGAGCTACTTGAGACTTGGGGGAGAGAGCCGCTAGAAGCTGGGGGGAGAAAGCCGCTGGAGTCTGGGGGGAGAGAGCCACTGGAGGCTGGGGGGAGAGAGCCACTGGGGGCAGAGCCACTG